CACACACACACACACACACACACACACACACACACACACTTTCATCCCGTTGTGCCATCCGATAAGGATGTGTCTGTATGAAATAGCTGATGAGAGTCATGAATGAAAGAATTATGAACAAATGAGAGAGTGATGAGAGGGATGTGAGAAGTTTGGTCATTTAGGCCATGATGTAAAGTAGGTGTGTTGGTCTAAAGATTGTTTTTACAAAACCTAGGCTCATGTGAAAACTGTGTTAATGGAAACCTTTCTGCAAAATGCTATTACATTACTTTCTAAGTAAAATGTCCAGTGAATTGCACTAAAAGCACATTCAGTTTTATCCAAATCAAATGTGAATCTGGCAGCATTTTATTACACTGATTGTTGTACGTAATATGGCAGTTTGGAAAAGAGTGGTGATAAAAAGATGATGCTCTATCACATCTGAAAAAACAAAACAAAACAAAAAATGTACCACCTACACTAAACAAATGCAAACATGGCATAAAAAAATAGCTTGTTTCTGCAAATCTTTGTCCTATTTTATCGCGACCCTTAAAGGGATAGTTCACCCAAAAATGAAAATTTGATGTTTATCTGCTTACCCCCAGGGCATCCAAGATGTAGGTGACTTTGTTTCTTCAGTAGAACACATTTGATCGGTCTATCTGTCTTATAATGCATGGCAATGGTAACAAAATCTATGAGAGTAAAAAAAACATGCACAGACAAATCCAAATTAAACCCTGCGGCTCGTGACGACACATTGATGTCCTAAGACACGAAACGATCGGTTTGTGCCAGAAACTGAACAGTATTTCTATCATTTTTTACCTCTAATACACCACTATGTCCAACAGCTTTGGGCGCGCGCACGGCATCCGATGCGTGAGGGGTGTATGCGCTCTGGCGTAGTTTACGGAAGTGCACACACTGTGACGAGTCGGCTGCCTCCCCCTAATTATCAGCATCACCCCATCCCTTAATCGCTGCCCTTCGCCAGGCTCCCGACATGAGTGTGTGCGTGAGAGGGAGGGGCGCTGAAATAGCCAGGGCTGGCGGCGTGTGATGGGGCACACCTGAACCGAATGGAGCCTCATCACCGCCACTGTTTAAATGCCGAGCGCGCCTCTCCTCAGGAGACCAGTCTCTTCCCAGTGCATGCATGCTGGTGT